TCACTGTTGAATTCTTTTATATTGTTAGTAGAGGCACATTGTTGCATTTGGTAAATATCTACTATATGTTGACATTTGGTTTGTGTTAGCATTTAATTTGTTTTCTTTTCTTTTTTTTTTTTTTTTCAGTACTAGGCCTTGAACTCAGGACCTTGAGCTTGCGAGGCAGGCATGGTGCCACTAAGCTAAATCCTCAGCCCTGGTGTTTTTTTTTTTGTTTGTTTTTGTTTTTGTTTTTGTTTTTTTCTTAAAAAGGGCTCACTATGTAGTTCAGACTGGCCTTGGTCAGGACTTGAACTTATGGCAATCTTCCTGCATCAGTCTCTCAAATGCTGGGTTTACAGGTGTGTGCCTCCACACCCAGTTTGTCTTAGTGTTTATCCTATAATTACAGATATCTTTTCTATGATTACAGGAGGCGTATTATTGGTTCTTATAGTATCTCAATATCCATTTTGTCTTTGATACCATTATTGTTGTTGATATAGTTGTTCTTGCCAAGGTGGCAGATTTGTTGCTATTAACTGGTTTTCTCTGTATCCCAATATCCATATTTTCATTGTAGCATTAACCATTCTGTGGTTCTTTCCTGGAGAACTGGGTGCTGGGTTAATTACACTGCATCCTCCCCTTTCAAATTAATGGAAGCAGAACATGAGGCCTGCAACATCTGTCACCCGACTGATCACCAGTGTGGACTCAGATGATCTGGCTGGCTAGGCAGGCATCCCCTTCCTCCCTCACAGCTTCATGTGTGTCCCTCCTGAAGCTGTGCACTCTGTAGGACAACCAGCCCAGTAGAAGAGGACCATTTCCTCAGTCAAGGGTATACACGTAGCTGCATTCCCCTGCTAGAACCTCCATACAAACTCTCAAATCAATGAAGGTAGTCGGATTTGGGGACAGAGGTAAAGGCTTATAGTTAACCAGACCTAGAGTGCACCACTGAAGCAGACACTAAATAAAAAGATCTGCATACTGGAAACAAAATCTTTCCATTATAAGCACCCACAAACCTCAATACACACACAAAAAAAATACAACAATAAACCTTGAGAAGACAAGACAACAAAATGCCCCCAAGGGCTCAGGATTTAGCTCAATGGCACCATGCCTGCCTTGCAAGCACAAGGTCCTGATTTTGAGCCCTGGTACCAGGAAAAAAATAATGCCTCTAAAAATTTTCAGTTCTTCCAAAGCTGATCCCTGGAGCATTGAGAGGAAGGAAATAAAAAGACACAGCTGAATTATTCAGAATGATAAAAGTAGAGATTAAAAAACAGAACAATAACATGCTTCTCAAGCTCAAAGAAAATATAGCTAAATATATAACGGACTTAATAAACAAGGCAATCAGTGAGTTTAAAGAAATCACTAATAAAAAACTAGATAGGCTAAACAAAATGATACAAAACAGGGCTGGGGATGTAGCTCAATGGCACCGTGCCTGCCTGGCAAGCACAAGGTTCTAAGTTTGATCCCAAGTACCAGAAAAAGAAAAAATATATAAACAAAGCATAAATGACCAGCTTAGCAAAGAATGGGAGACTTTCAGTTACAACTCTCAATGCAAATGATCTCAATTCCCCAGTCAAAAGACACAGATCAGCAAAATGTATCAAGAAACAATTCCAAACAATGCGCTGTATACAAGAAAAGAAATTCACAGACTAAAAGAAATTCATAGACTAAAAATCAAAGGATAGAAAACAATATTCTATGCAAAGGCAAAAAAAAGGAGGAATTATCCTATTTACAGACAAGATAGATTTCAAGCCAAAACAGATCAGAAGAGGCCAAAAATGTCACTACATATTAGTGAAGGGTACAATTCAGCAGGAGGATATAACAATTATAAACATATATGCTCAGAACACCAGCACACCCAACTTCATAAAACAAACACTACTGGACAGAAAAGATCAGATAAACATCAACACAATTATAGTGGGGAACCTCAATATAAATAGATAGATCACAAATAGATCAATTAACAAAGAAATATCAGGGTTGAATCAAGCCTTTGAACAAATGGACTTAATAGATAGCTACAGGGCTGGGGATTTAGCTCAGTGGTTCCATCGTCTGCCTCACGAGTGCAAGGTCCTGAGTTCAATCCCCAGTACCCCCCCAAAAAATAAAAAGATAGCTGCAGTGTTCCACCTACCAACAGAGTACACATTCCTCTCAGGAGCACATAGAACTTTCTCCAAGATAAACCACATGCTAGCCCTCAAAGCATGCTTAAGTAAATGCAAGAGTCAAAATTATCCCATGTATATTATCAAATCATAGTGCTATCAAACTAGGAATCAGTGCCAAAATAAACAAAAGAAATTATGCAAACATATAGAAATTGAACAACATTCTCGTCAATAATGAATAGGTCACAGAAGAAATTAGACAGTTCCTAGAATCAAATGATAACATCAGTACAACATATCAGAACCTATGGGACACAATGAAAGCAGTCCTGAGAGCGAAGCTTATAGCTGTGAATGCCCACATAAGAACAAAGAGTGAGCCCAAATAAATAATCTAACAACACACCTCAAGTTCCTCAAAAATAAGAATAATCTAAAATCAAAGCTAGTACAAGGAAGGAAACTATAAAAATCAGAGTGAAAATTAAGGAAATTGAGACTAAAAAATACAATGAATCAAAGAGCTGGTTCTTTGAAAGAAAAAACAGAATAGACAAACAAAAGTTCGTCAATCATAGTTTAAAAAAAAAAAAAAAAGGAAAGAAAAAACCCAAATCAATGCAATTAGAAATGAACAAGGCAAAATCAAAATAAATGCCACCAAATTCCAGAAGATTATTAGTAGTAACTGCTTTGAAACCCTGTATTCCAATATATTGGCAAATCCAGAAGAAATGGATAGATTCCTAGATAATATGAATTATAAAAATCTAAACCATGATGACACAAAATCCCTGAATAACTCAATAATAGGCAATAAAATTGAAATAGTAATAAGAAAAAACTTCCAGCAATGAAAAGCCCAGGGCTGGAGATTTAGTTCAGTGGTTCCGCTGCATGCTTCACAAGCACAAGGTCCAGAGTTTGATCCCCAGTACCAAAAAAAAAAAAAAAAAAAAAAAAAAAAAAAAAAAAAAAAAAAATAGAAGAAGAAAAGAAAAGCCCAGGACCCAATGGATTCATTGTCGAATTCTGTAAGAATTTTAGGGAAGATCTAATGCCAATACTACTCAAACTCTTTAATGAAACTGGAAAGGAAACAGTACTCCTCAAGTCAGTCCTGGAAGTTAGCTTTCAACCTGATTCCAAAGCAAAAAAAGGACCCAACCAACACAGAAAACTACAGGCCGATCTCTTTAGTAAATATAGGTGCAAAAATCACCAACAAGACAAAATGTAACAAATCATCAAAAAGATTACATATCATGACCAAGTAGGTTTCATTCCAGAGACGAAGGGATGGTCCAACATATGCAAATCAGTTCTTTTTTGTTTTGTTTTGTTTTTTGTATCAAGAATCAAACTCAGGACCTTGCAACTGGGCAGGCACAGAAACACTGTACTAAATCCTTGGCCCCAACATATGCAAATCAGTGAATGTAGTACATCGTACAAAGAGAAACAAGGAGGGCCTGGGGTTTATCTCAGTGGTTCCACTGCCTGCCTCACAAGCACAAGGACCTGAGTTCAATCCCTGGTACAAAAAAAAGAGAAAAGAAACAAGAAAAAAATCATATGATCATCTCATCATCTCAGTGGATACAGAAGAAGCCTTTGATGAAATACAGTATCCATTTGTGATTTGAAGAAAAATCATTAGGGCAGGGGATTTAGCTCAATGGCACTGTGCCTGCCTTACAAGTACAAGGTCCTGCATTCAATCCCTGGTACTGCAAAAAACAAAACAAAAAAACATACTGGGGACAGTAGCTCAGTGGCACCGCACCGGCCTCTCAAGGGCAAGGTCCTGAGTTCTATCCCTAGTACAAAAAAATTTATTGAATAAAGAAAATAGGTATAGAATGACCTTATCTCAGTCTGATATAAGCCATTTGTGACAAATTTCTCCCACATTAAACAGAGGAAAAACTGAAAGCTTTCCCTCTAAAATAAGGAACAAAACAGGAATGACCACTATCACCACTCCAGTTCCATACCTCTGTATACTCAAAACATTAGCCAAAGCCATCTGGCAAAAGGACAAAATAAAAGGGACATGTACAGGAAAGGAGGAAGTCAAATTATCATTATTTATAGATGACATGATTCTTTTCCCAAAAGACCCAAAAAATTTCACCAAAAGACTTCTAGAATTAATAACCAAATTCAGTAACATACCAAAATACAAAATTTTTTTATTTGTTTTGAGACAGCATCCTCCTGCCTCAGGCTCCCAAGGGCTGGGCTCATAGGGATGCACCACCACACCCGGCCAGAATACAAAATTAACACACAAACCAGGTGTACAACAGTTCAAGAACCAACTGTAGTCCATACTACAGTTTGACACTTTAATGGACATTGCTCTAGCTCTTCCCTGTGTCTGTGACATTCAAATGTGTGTCTTTATTCAGTCCTGGTGCCTCTATGGATGCTTCTTTGGATGGAGCATCCCAAGAGTAAGGTTTCCTGTAAACAAATGAGAACTAAGATCTCCTCCACATGGCTGCTCTTCATTACAGCAAAGGACAAAGACTTAAAAGCATCCCTAAACCACCACAGCTACTAAAAACAAAGACTAAAATTAATGTGCTTGCATTGCATCACCCTGCTCCCTAGCAGCTAAAACACCTTCGTCCTCCATCCCCCACTTAGCCAAGGAAAGTCTCACAGCTGGCCCTAAAGGAGTCTTCTCTGACACACGTGTATACTAGTAATGGTCCCACAGCTACTCAGAAAAGTTTTGCTTTTTTTGCTTCCCTCTCAAAGTTTTTTGTTTTGTTTTGTTTTGTTTTGTTTTGTTTTTTGGTACCAGGGATCAAACTCTGGTCCTTGCACTTACAAGGCAGGCGGCCGCACCACTGAGCTAAACCCCCAGCCCTGTCAAAGTTTTTAACAAAAAAACGTCAACACCAGAAGAATCTAGAGGATATGCTTATAATTCTGTTGCTGTCACTTCACCTTGGTAGGAACGTTCTGAAACTAGCAGCGTCACGTATTTTACATCATGTATGAATAATGAATGATGAGGTGCCTGAATGACACTGGTAGGAACTCACTTTGACCAGGCCTTCATCGCCTGGAAGAGATCAGCTCTGGCTAGAAACAGAATTGAACACTCCTCATGAGCTACACAGGAGGTCTGATGAAGACGAACCGATTGCTAGGGTGGCCCTGGGATTTGTCTGGAAGCTGAAGCTGGCGCAGCAAACAAGCTGGTCATTGGATGGCATGTTCACCTGCAGCAGCTTGCAAGGTGTGTGATTATCTGATGGAGAAAGTGATGCCTCCCAGGACCTGAATTAGGGTAAAGCAAGTAAGTCACTTGATTGGGCTATAAAGGGGAAAAGATCTCAAACATTTCAGATAAATTATACTTTAGTGCAATTTTTTTTTGGGGGGGGGTACCAGGGATCAAACACTTGTGAGGCAGGCACCATGCCACTGAGCTAAATCCCCAGCCCTTTAGTGCAATATTTTTAAAAAATCAGAAATAATGTAAAAGTCCCTTAATAAATTTTTAAAAGGGAGTTTTTTGTTTTGATTTTTTTTGAGATGGAGGTCTTACCGTGTATTTTAGGCTGGCCTTGAACTTGCAGCTATCCTCCTACCTCTGCCTCCAGGAGTGCTAGGATTACAGGCATTTGCCACCACACTCAGCTCCAAAATTTTAAAAGATCTAATCAGTATTAACATTTCCTTTGCTTCCGGCTCCAGTATGACTAGGCACAGCTCTCTTTGGCACTGCCCTCAAACTGAATACAAGCTACACTCTTGTACTCTTTTTAATTTTCTTTTTTAGGGGGAAGGGTGAGACTGTGTCTTACTATGATGTTCAGGCTGGTGTTAGACTCACTAGGTAGCCAAGGGTGGCCTCAAACTTGCTGCAATCGTCCTGCCTCAGCCTCCTCAGTGCTGGGATTACATCAATGCACATCCATGCCTGGTTCTTACACTTTTTTTTTAAGAAATAAATTTTGCCAGGCATAGAATTCTACCACTCTAGGAAGCTAAGATGGAGGATTACAAGTTCAAGCCCAGCCTGGGTAATTTAGCAATTTAGTGAGATCCTGCCTCAAAATTTAAAAAGGTCTGGGAGCATAGCTCAGAGTGAAGGCTCTGGGTTCAAGCTCCAGTATTACTAAATTAATTAATTAACATGGATAGTGATGATCAGAGAAATTCTAGAATGCCGATTTCCAGCATTGTCCTTTTCTAATCTTTTCTTCTGAAAATTGCCTCCAAAACACAATCAGAACACAAACCCCATCTTCCAGGCCAGGGATATAGCTCAGTGGCACTGCACTTGCCTGGCAAGTGCAAGGTCCTGAGTTCGATTCCTAGTAGACCCCTAAAAACAAAAAACAAACCCTATCTTCCATAAAACTGAGAATATCTGTACCTCTGACGCAGGAGATTAGGGTATGGCCAGCTGGCTGGGCAAGTGGGCTGACCTGTCAGTCACAGAGATCCAGGACACACGCACAGAAAAGAGTTCCCAAGCCCTGAACCTGAGGCAAGCCAGAAAGCACTGTCTTCACTTCCTCTGGTGGGAAATCAAGCAGGTTTTTGATAGAATGCCCTAGATCTGATGTCAGCCTAAAGCCAGGGCTGTCAGATTAAAGACAGGGGCCACTAACCTCAAGGTCACTGTGAGCTTTCTCAGTGGCCCACTCTCACTCTACAGAGTGTACTTCTCCCTGAATGAATGTAAAACCTCGCTACCTTTTGTGTGTGTCTTGTCCAACTCTTTCTTCAGGGCAGGAACCTGGGAAGAGCCAACAGAATCCTAGAACCCGGTAACACCCCTAGAGCAAAACATATGAAAACCAAACAGATGGAGGAATGGTAACTAAATTAGAGCAGAGGAGCGCCAAGCTTTGCACCCACAAGAAGCAGCCCAGAAGCCCCACACACTGGAAGATAATGGTAGGAACAAGACCCTGAGAATATGGAGGCTATCTGAAGACTTAAACAGCAGCCCTAGGGCCCCCTCCCCGTCAGTCAGGCATCCAACCCTCCCTACCTCCCATTCCCCAGGAAGGAACAACCTGAGGACCTCGGTGGGGGCAGGGTGCACAGGCAGGAAGAGAGCAGGGGCGTGATCAGCTCAAGTCCACGCACTACACTGCGAGATTCCTCACTGCCTTTCTTGCCCAGGGCTACAGCCCAGTTTATACCTCCCAGGCAGTAGGCTGAAGATACTTTCTCCAGATAACTACATTCCTGCGGAGAAAATGCCTGCACACCCTGACATTTGGGGGAGCACACACCCTCCCACACATAAAAGCTGGCTCTCTACTTCATCTGTCTAAAAATAAACCCACAAACTGACAAGCCCTGCCCACTCATGCTGAGCTTCCAATCAGATTGGCAGCGATGCGGTTAAAAATGCTAGCAAGCATGCAAAGATCAGCAGACCTTGGAGGAAACCTTCTGACAGTAAAGATGGAGGCCAAAACAAATATTCTGAAGGAGGAAAGAGAAGCAGAGGAGATAGAGACAACACAGACACAAGAAAAATCCAAAAAGTAAATTATTATCCTAAGGGAAATAAGATTTTACACTATAAAATAAGACTCATATCCTTCAAGGAAGAAAGGGAAGGAAGGAGAAAAAGAAAGAACAGGAGCAGGAGGAGGAATAAACTGTTGCCTCACTCTAGAATGGACAATAAAATCAATTAAAATTACTAAACTAAACTGAGCATCGTGGTGCACACCCATGATCCCAGCACTCAAGAGGCTGAGGCAGGAGGACAGCTGTGAGTTTGAGGCCAGCCTGGGCTACATAGTGAGACCCTGTCTCAAAACAACAACAACAAAAATCACTAATCTAAAATTGCTGTTGGTTTGTCCATTGACTCCCAGGGATCCGGTACAGAGTGGAAGGAGAGGATGACAGGGCCATGGTGCCCTACCTTATGAGCCACCTGACTCACTGTGTAATAGGAAACAAGTGGGGACTATCTGGAGGTTGTTAAAAATAGGGAGCTTGTGTTCTTTCTTAGGACAAGAACCTTAGGCAATCAAAGAAGTTGCCCTTCTACTATAGCAGATCCCAGCATGAAGTCCTGAATGCTTCAAATGGGGTCAGTGAAGTAAAGAGACCAGAATTCTTGGAAATCCTGGTAGTGACCCAAGCACAAAGAGGCTCTAAAGCCAGATCTCTGAGCCTTATGCAATGAGGCTGTCAGATGACTTCAAATGCCTGAAAGACTGATCAACTTTGGCTCTATCTTCCAAAACAAGGGGAAAGAAATAGCCCAACCTCACGCTGAGAAATACAAGAGCCTGTATTAAATTTTCTTTTCTCAGTTAAAACTATATGAAACAAAAACCATTGTAATTCCCTTCAGTCACAAAATAAAAATCACTGCACAAATACAGGGAAATCTCTGTAACCAGGAGTGGAATGCTGCCACAAACCAAACCAAAAACCTCTCCCCTCGTCCTTTTCCTCCTCCCTCTTCCTCTTCTTTCTCCATCCTCTCCACCCTTATGTTCTTTCTCTTTCTGCCTTCCCTGCCCCGTCCCCTCAGAGTCATGTTCCTCTGGTCTCAACATGGGCCGATCTCATTATTTTTAATCTTTTACTTTAGCGGGTGGGAGGTGCTGGAACTTGAATCCAGGGCTCATGTGTATTAGGGCACACACTATACTACTAGCTACATCCTTGGTTCCCGTCTTTCTTTTCTTCCTGCTCCTCCTTTCTTCTTCTTCCTCCTTACTCTTCCTCTATCACCCACTGGTAAATCTTGAGAGGTCATTTGTCTCTTGCCCAGAGCACTTTCACTTAAAAGCAGATCCTAGGCTGGAGATTTAATGCAGTGGTTCCACCACCTGCCTCTCAAGAGAAAGGACCCAAGTTTGATCCCTGGTACTAAAAACAAACAAACAACCAAAAGCAGTTCTGCTGAATAAAACTCTCTTGTGTTTTACCCTATCAAGCATCTCTGGTCAATACAGTGTTTTGAACTCACTGATTCAATTGTCTTACTGCACTAGTCTGGAAAAAACTCCAGCCCTGGGTTAGTGTGACTGTTCACATGGTCTGTTCCTATGCTCCTGTCATACCTGAAGGAAAATCCTCCTGGGCAGATTGATGTGACTGGTGCCACCATGGGTTTGTGGTCTCCTCCTCCACTGGGCCTTGACTTTACCCAGAAATTCCTGGCTCCCCTCTGTCCACGTGCTCCTCACAGATCTCCTCTGCTCTGCATTTGTCTCCAGTCCCAGCACCTCTGCCTCCCTGCTCTCAGGTGCCTTCACCTCTTACCTTTGAGAAAAGGAGACAGTTATAGAGCTCTGTCAGCTCTCACCCACTAGCCAAACTTCCAGACTGTTTCCTCACCGTCCTTTGATCTTTCTCCTATTAAACAGACATCCCTCCTTGTACCTGCGATGAATCCCTTCACAGCAGTCCTCCGATCTCCCACGGCATTTCATCCAGTAATTATCCTTACCTTGCGTATTACTTGCTGAATAGTTTAGCCTTTCAACCCCTACCATCAAACACCCATTTATATTAAATAAGAGAAAAATATGTCTGCGGCACACCTATTTTAGAGTCTAGGTGGGAAAACAAGAGAATGATGAAAGCAACCGCAAAGGAGTCAGGGGGCCGCCAAGCAGCAGGGCTCAGGCACATATCCAGCGGCTGCCTGCAGTGGGGACATTGGTGCCTCCACCTGTTGCTCGGGGATGACCAGGTAACCGAGCAAGAGGTCCTCAGGATCTTATTTTATGGGCAGTTCCACTCTGCTTAAACAATCTTTTCTTCATCTTCTGTTGCTGGCTCCAGTTTTTTTTTTTTCAACATTTGATAGAAGTTTCCTGTAAGGAATTTTTACTGCTTTGTGATAAATCAGCACTGCTTGCCTGCATAAGCTCCTGTTATCCTGAGCTTCACTGGAACACAGAATCAGAGTTTTTGGAACATGTAGCTCTGAAATCACAATTCCTAAGACTCCCAAGAAAGTCCTTCTACTTTTGCAGCTTCCAAGCGTGACCCAATCAACATATATTGCAGGATATTGTGAGCGACACAGAGCTGGTACCTATGACCTGTCCTCCCAGAAGACAGAATGAATAAAGCCTTATAATCCATGTTATTTAAAGAGAAGTGCAGGGTACTGTGGAGATATATAGAAAGAAAACTTAAAATTGGATTAGACTGCCTTGAAGAGAGTAAAATTTAAAGCACAATGGTATATACCTGCAATCCCAGCATTCTAGGAGGCTGAGGCAGAAGGATCACAAGTACAAGCCCAACTTAGGCCATTTAGAAACTTAGTGAGACCCTGTCTCAAAATAAAAAAATAAAGCTGGGCATGGTGGCACAAGCCTGTAATCCCAGTGCTCAGAAGGCAGGAAGATTGCCATGAGTTTGAGAATATCCTGGGTTGCATAGCCAGCTCAAGGCCAGCCAAAACTATATAGCAATTGCCCTATCTATAAATAAATAAATAAGTACTGAGCTCAGTGTGAGGGTCCTGAATTTAACCCCCAGTACCACAAAATAAGTAAATAAAATTAACACTAAAGGGTTATATAAGAAGAGTTCAAGAAAAAGGTTTAATTAAACTTTATAAAGTCCTGACCAACAGTCTATGCAAGATTTCATGAAACTGGACAAGCTACTTCTAAATTATATAGAGAAAAAGAAGTAAAGTTAAAATAGCCAGGTGTGGTGGTAGACACTTGCAATCCTAGCACTCAGAAGGCGGAGGCAGGAGGACAAGGCAAGCTTGGCTACATAGTGAGACCTTTTCTCAAAAAAAGGAAAAGAGGACGCAGGATTTAGCTCAGTGGTTCTGCAGCCTGCCTCACAAATGCAAGGACCTGAGTTCTAACCCCAGTACCAAAAGGTGGGGGCAGGGATTTAGTCATGCCATGCATGCCTCACAAATGCAGGGTCCTGGGTTCAATCCCTAGTACAAAAAAAAGAAAGAAAGAAAGAGTACAAAGAAAAAATTAAAATTATGATGAGCTGGGGATGTAATTCAGTAGCCGAGGACTTGCATATCATGAGCAAAGCCCTGGGTTGGATTCTAACATGGAAAAAAAATCAAGACTAAGAAGAGCAAAGGGCTGGGGATTTAGCTCAGTGGCACCATCCCTGCCTTACTAGCACAAGGTCCAGAGTTCAGTCCCTAGTACCAAAAAAAAAAAAAGAAAGAAAGAAAAGAGCAAAATAATTTCAAGGAGAATAAGATAGGAGAAATAATCCTAAAGCTCCATTTAAAAACTACAGTACTGTACCCAGCGTGGTGGTGAGCGCACTCAGGAGGCTGAGGCTGGAGGATTGACAGGAGTTTGAGGCCAGCCCAGGACACATAGTGAGTTGGAGGCCAGCCTGAACTATATAGCAAGACCCTGCCTCAAAACTAAAAAAATTAATTAACTACAGTAATTACGACAGTAACTCCCCACCACCACCACTCAGTTTTTGTGATTGAAGCCGAGGACTCCTACAAGCTGACCATATACTCTAGCATAGTGCTACCCTAGCCTAGATAAGCTGATCTTCACACACACACACACACACACACACACACACACACACACACACACGATGTGTGTTCCTTGTGTCTCATCATGTGACACCCTGGGCTGCCTCAGGACTCTGCCAGCAAGGTCATCATGACATCTCCAGAACCATGAACCAAAATAAACCTCTTTGTAACTAAATAGATCCACACAAAGGACAGCGTAGTCTTGGTACAAGCAAAATTAGAGCAATAGCCTAGTCTCTGCAGGCACATTCCTATTTGTCCTCTGAGGTGCAATGTGTCACTGCTTCAGAAGTCTGGCTGCCTCACCCTCAGTCTTTTTTTTTTTTTTTTTTTTTCCAGTACCAGGAATCAAACTCAGGACCTTGCACTTGCTAGGCAGACTCAGCACCACTGAGCTACATCCCCAGCCCTCTCCCTCAGTCTTCCTTGGGTGCCTTCCTTGGTATGCAGCAGGAAACTGTGTGAGATTCCCAAGCAGACCACTCTGACACACAAAGGAGGAGCAAATCAGCTTTTAATAATGCCAGCGGCTCAGTGAGTGACTCCTGTCTTGAGATCCCCGAACAGAAGTTTGTGCTTCTTAATGCACCTCTTTTTACATCTATGCAGCTTAATTCCATTGGAGTCTCCCTGGCAATGTAGCAGGCAGGCTTTACACAAAGCAGAGGAGAGGAGGCGGGCAGGAGCAAAAAGTACCGGCGGGACTTTTTGAGTCCGATGAGCTCCTTTGCTGACAGATTACAGAAGTTGTCATGGTTACTCAGGTGCATTCTACAAAAAGCATAGTTACTCAATTAACCCATAGTTGTCCAGTAACAGTTAATCCATAGCTGCCCAATTCCATATGGAGGGGTGCATCCATGGTGCTTGCTTTTCCTGTACAGAATTGTCCACCTAAATCTAAAAACAATAGATTTGCCAAGGATCACTGGTACCTATTTGGAAACAGTAGAGTGAGACAGTGGAATAAACACTTATAGTAAACTGTGGGCATAGTCAAAGCACTTGAAGCAAGGGGCAGCTTTTAAAGGCAAAAGCACAGAGGATTAAGTCAGGTAATTCCAAGCAATAATCCTTGGCCACAAGGATTCTAACAAGCATGGCATCAGTCAAAGGTCGAATGGGCAGATGTCCTCGTAGAAGTACTTTTGTTTTGTTTCGTTTTGTTTTGAGATAGGGTCTCACTAAGTCATTCCAAGTTGCCCACTAAGCACTGCACAGGCTTGTCTCAAATGTGTGCTTCTCCTGCCTCAGCCTCCCAGAATATTCTGGGATTACAGAGATGTCCCTATTTTGGGCGGCGGGTTGTTTTTTTGTTTTTGTTTTGTTGTTGTTGTTATTGTTCATACATAGTTGCAGTGGTTTCTGCCATTCTGCAAACTTGTGATTCTTGTGGTAGTTTGTGTGTGTGTGTGTGTGTGTGTGTGTGTGTGTGTTAGGGTTGCCTAGTGACTCCATCTTGATTCTGACAACTTGTCACGTTTCCTTCATTGAACATACTACATTTGCTCTATCTAACATGTGACACAGACTATTGTTCCTCAGCTGCTGATCCTCAGCATTAAAGGAAGACTTACAATACTGCCTTCAAAGAGCACAAAGTCGGCTCTGTCTCTCCCATTTTTTGGAGCCATTGACTGCCTAGAACACTTTTCTTCATTAACTGAAAACTTTAGCACTTTTGACTGTAGCCAAAAATACTTTTCAAACAGACATCCTCCCTCCACCTCGGCATCTCCACAGAGGATCTTCCGTAGGTCTACTGAATTCAGCCACTCTGCTATAGAAATATATTCTCCTCACCCACATGAAAACAACCAAGCTACGAAGTCGGACCTTGCCATATCAAGGGAGTCAGCCACCGACACTTACTTTCACAGAGCCTCAAAGGCAAGCAGAAAGCTGAGGTGGGGATGGGGGCTTCAGGGATGTTCTGACCAGAATTCAAATTCAGAGCCTGGGGAAGGAGAAACTAGAGACAGGCAATCTAGAAGTGGGGCATCCTAGGGCCGGGGATTTAGCTCAGTGGTTCCACTGCCTGCCTTACAAACACAAGGACCCAAGTTCGATCCCAGGTACCAAAGAAATAAAATAAAATAGAAGTGAGGGATCTTATATGACTTTCTTAGACAGCATGTTTGGCATGGACCAAAGGAGGGAGGTAGCAGTTACCGACCAAGTAGTATAAGTCCTTTACCTTTTCAATTACAGATTTTCAACTTCTCTCTACTGCTCTTCTTTTTTCTTCCTTCCTTCCTTCCTTCCTTTCTTTTTTTGTTTTGCTGTTGTTGCTTTGTTTTGTTGTGTTTTGAGATAGGGGTTCCCTGTGTTGTCCAGGCTGACCTTGAAGAAATAGACAAAGGGTAGAAATGTAGCTAAGTGCAACAGAGAAAGGAGGAGAGAGTCACTTTATGGATGTGTACGTATAATTTTTTTCAAACAAATTCTTGCTATGTTGCTCAAACTGACTTCGAACACCTGAGCTCAAGCTGTCTTCCTGCCTCAACCTCCCAAGTAGTCCTGAAAAGTTTTTAAAACCTTTTTATTATAAAATAATTATGGTGTCACGAGAAGTTAAAAGGTAGTAGGAAGCAGTCCTGCTGTACCTTTCCTCTAGTTTCTCCCCACAGTTACATGTTTATATAACTATTGCATAATACCAAAACCAGTTCATTAGCTCTGGCAACAAAACATTTGTACCTCTAGTTCTGTGCTATTTTATCACACATATAGGTTTCTGTTACCATTCCTGTAACTACAATCAAGACAAAAAAAACCTCTTCTATCACACAAAGATCTCCCGATGCCACCCCCTCTGCAGTTACATGTATACCCTTGGAATCTCCAGCAACCTATATTTTCCATCTCTATAATTTTGTCATTTTGAGAAAATTATATAAATAGATGAATCATGCAATATGCATCTTTTTTGAGACTGGCATCTTGCAGTGTATATCCCGAGATTGGTTTTTCTACTCACCATAATGCCCTTGAAATCCAGCCAAGTCATAGAGAGCATCAGTAGTTTGTTCTTGTGTGTGTGTGTGTGTGTGTGTGTGTGTGTGTATGTGTGTTTTCTTGGAAAATGAACCCAGAGTCTCTCACTGAGCTACATCCCTAACACAATTCACTTTTTTTTTTTTTTTTTTTTTTTTGTACTGGGAACCAAATTTGAGACCTTGTATCTGCAAGGCAGGTGGCAGAACCACTGAGCTAAATCCCTGGCCCAACACAATTCACTTTTTTTACTGGTACCTGGAATCAAACTAAGGACTTTGTGCTTGCCAGGCAGGTGTGGCACCACTGAGCACCACCCCACCCCACACAATTCACTTTTTTATTTTGAGATGCAGTCTCATTCAGTTGACAAGGCCGACCTCAAACTTGATATCCTCTACCTCAGCCTTCCGAGTAGCTAAAATTACAATTCCTTTCTAAAATTGAGTATTCCTTGTTATGGATTAATCAGTTTATTTCATAGTTTATCTATTCAAGGACATTTTGGGGGTATACAGGGCAGGGCAATTTAAGCAGGCATGGAGGTATATGCCTGTAATCCCAGAACTCAGGAGGCTGAGGCAAGAGGATCACCACAAGTTCAAGGCCAGCCTAAACTACATAGTCAGACCTTGTCTCAAAAAAATTTTTTAAAGGTGAGGTGGACCAGTTCCCAGAAGATGACAGAGTAGTGACCAGGAGAAAAACAGCCTCCCCAAGATTTGTTGTCCAGATGCTGGGATATGACAACATGAGGAAGAAAAGAAGGAGGGAAGTGATCAGCAAGGATCTGAAAAAAGAATTGAAGCCCATAGTAAAGAGACCTCATACATTCTAGATCCAGTCTATGACCACATGAGGCTTTGGGGGAACATCTAAACCCAAACCATAACAGAATTGAACCAACTTTTGAACAAATGGACTTAGTAGATGTCTATAGAATGTTCCACCTCACAAAATCACAATACACATTCCTCTCAGCAGCACATGGGACATTCTCCAAAATCCTTCAAGAAATTTCAAGAAGACCTAATGATGCTACTTCTGAAACTCTTTAATGAAATTGAGAGGGAAGTAATACTCCCAAACTCAATTGTGGAAGCAAGCGTTGTGATATCAAAATGAGAGAAGAATCCAAGTAAAAAAGAGAAGGCCATCTCCCTAATGAACATAGATGCAAAAATCCTCAATAAAGTACTAGAAAACAGGATACAGCAAATCAACAAGAAAATAATACACCATGACCAAACAGAATTCATCCCAGAGAGGCAAGAATGGTTCAACACACACAAATCAATAAATGTAATACACCATTATGAACAGATCCAAGAACAAAAACTATATGGTCCTCTCAATAGGAATAAAAAAAGCATTTGACAAAGTCTAACACCCATTCAGGATAAAAACCCTACCAAAAATTGAAATAGATGGACTCTATCTTAATTTGATAAAGACCATCTATAATAAACCAACAGCCAACATTATGCTAAATGAACAAAAACTGAAAGCTTTCACTCTAAAATCAGGTACAAGAAAAGGATGTCCACGGTCATCACTCTTATTCAATATAGTTCTGGAAACATTAGCCAAACAATTAGACAACAGAAAAGAATAACAAAAGAAATAAGGATAACTCTTTAAAAAATAATAATAAGGATAGGAAAGGAGAAAGTTAACATTATTTGGGCCAGGGAGTCAGCTCAGTGGTGCCGCCACCTACCTCACAAGCACAAGGGCCCGAGTTCGCTCTCTGGTAGGAAAATAAGTAAATAGATAATATTATTTGTGGATGGCACAACACTCTACATAAAAAATTCCCCAAACTCCACTAAAACACTTCTAGAATTAATGACCAAATTCAGCAGGGTAAGTGAATACAAAATCAATACACAAAAACTAGGGCCAGGGATTTAGCTTAGTGAGACCATGCCTGCCTTGCAAGCACAAGGTCCTGAGTTTGATCCCTGTTACCCCCCAAAAAAAAAAAAAAAATTCTTGTATTTGAGTAAACTCACTGAGAGACAAATTGGGGAAACCACAGCTTTCACAATAGCATTCAAAAAACTAAAGTACCTAGGAATCAATCTAATGAAGGAAATAAAAGACATCTACATTGAAAACTTCAGTACTCTGAAAAAGGAGATTGAAGAGGACATCAGAAAATGGAAAGATATCCCCTTGTTCTTATATAGGAAGAACCAATATAGTGAACATGGTCATATTTCTAAAATTGTTATACTGATTAAATGCAATTCTGATCAAAATTCCAATAGTATATCTCACATTAAAGAAAACAATACTAAAACTCCCTTGAAACAAGAAGAGACTTAGAATAACAAAAGTAATTCTGGACAGCAAAAGCAAGTCAGCAGCATCACAATTCCCAGTCTGAAATTATACTACAAAGCTACTTAGATAAAAACAGCATGGTACTGGCCAAAAAAAAAACCACACACACCCAAGGATCAATGGAACAGATTCAAAGATGCACAAACAACTCCAAACACACTTATCCATCTTTGATGAAAGAGTCAAACACTTTCTTTCTCTCTCTCT